TGAAGCGGGTTCTGCTCTGTGCAAGGCCTTCCCTGCTTTGTTATCTCTTGGCCCCTCCTGTGTTATACTTCTAATCTGCATTCATTCCTCTTTTCTCCCTCCTCTTTCCAAAGCTCCAAAAGAATAAAGGCCCTCCCGTTGATCGTCGATTTGCTCGAGCGGGCCCAGTAACGTCTCCATTGGAGACTTTGTTGTTACTGTGTCTGGCATATCGAATACTCTCGGTAGCTTGCCGGGCTCTCCGAGAGGGGCGGAGGAATCGAACTCGGGTCGGCGGCCATGTTGGCCGCGTGTAAGGCGAACGCCCTACCCGCTGTGCTATCGCTCCAGCCCAAAAGAATAGTCAAGTATATTTTTTGTCATTGATGACTTTGGGGGAGACAGATTACAAATTGTAATGCAAATTGTAGAGAAAGACTTCACAGAGCTTCAGTAGCTCTGAAGCTACTACTTCTAAAGATCACTCAGTGAAATATTTCTGGAGCGCTACTCTTCCCCAGAGTGGACTGTTTTTATGCAGTTACCTTGTGTGGCCTCCCTGCCCGACCCCATCCCTTTTCCTCTTTGTGAAATTGCATTGTCTTGGCTTTATATTCTATCATGCTGTATAAGATGGAGATTCTGGGAGAACCACTTCCTGTTACTTGATGGCTCAAGGAAAAGACAAGAGGGGAAACAAAACTTTATTAATAATGCTATTTTAAAGAACGCTTAAAAACAGCATTGGTCAGGAAGTGCATCTTAAATTTCTAGTGAAGAGTGCATTCTTGCCCCCAGGATGATGTTTTTCTTTACTGAAATCTGATAAGGAATCTTCCAATTGCCAAGACCCATTATTGATTCATTTCTTCCTTTGACCTGTTTTTATCTTTGGACTAATACATTACAATACAGATCACTGTGGATCAGCCCCAGATTCTTCCAAAGATTTAAGGCTATTTTTAAAAAATGTTTTGTTTCTTTACATTTATTTTTAATTGAGTGAGGCACTGTGCTTCATAAACCAGTTAATGAGAGTCTCATGTGCACTTAACTCCAAAACCACACCCCTCACCGGGTACCCACCTCCCTCCCCTGAGGTCCCCAGTGCTGTGCTGAGAAAGACTAATTTTATGATTTAAGACATCTAGAGCTCATTTTCAAGTGCTGAGTTTGGCAGTTTTCTGATTTAAGCCCTGAGAAACTCGTTTCTCTGCCATTTCACAGTGGCTTCTGTCAGGACCTTGGCTGCTGCATGAACTTGGCTTATTATGAATCATGGAATGAATAACACTTATTAATTCTTTGGAAGTCTGAAAAAAACATGTGATAAAGTCCAAGGATGCCAGGTGTTAATTTGTGTGTGTGTGTGGGGGGGGGGATTGGGCGGGGTATTTGGTCACCCCTGGCTGTGCTCAGGGATTAGTCCTGGCTCTGCGCTCAGTTATCACTTCTGGTGGGCTTGGGGGACCATATGCAGTGCTGGCGATCAAACCCAGGGCACTGTGAGCAAGGCAAGTGCCTTACCTGCCGAGCCTGCCCTAACATGTAGGTTTTAAGCCATATGCAATGTTCTTTTTTAAAAAATGTATTTTTTGCTTTCTGGGTCACACCCCAAAATTTTTCTTTTTGGGGGTGGGGGAAGACACACCTAGTAATGCACAGGGGTTACTCCTGGCTCTGCAGTCAGGAATTACTCCTGGCAGTGCTTGGGAGACCATACGGGATACTGGGATCGAATCTGCGTTGGTCGTGTGCAAGGCAAACACCCTACCTGCTGTGGTATCACTCCAGCCCCACAATGTGCTATGTTCTATTTCAATTTAAAATACTGCAGAGTTCAGAATTGATAGTGGATAGACAGGAACAATGTCAAAAACTACCTCTTTTCATGATTAGCATGGTATCTAGATTTTTTTTTTAACACTTTCCTGAGTCAAGACTCAGAGACTATAAAATTCAGCTCCCCGACGAGACCAGTGCAGTCTTCTGCCCCCACGCCTGGCTGTTCCTTGTCAGAGCCCCTTGGAGGGGAGCGGGTTGAGCTTTCCTCCCCGCCCCGATCAGGGCTCCGGCAGCCGAAGACCTCCAGGACCAGCCACCACCATGCTGAGACCACTCTCCGCACACATGAAGGTACTGGCAGAGGGACAAAGCCATGCGGGTTCCGGGGCCGAGATCTCCAAGCCTGCTCGGATTGGAGTCGAGCATCCTCCACCCAGATCCTCCAAATTCCAGTAGGCGGGGGTCACACCCACCACCTGGCCCCCTGGCGCCGTGTAATCCCATCAACGGCCAAGACTCAGAGACTATAAAATCCAGCTCCCGGAACCGCTGGACATCTTTTTATAACATCTTATTATCTCATTCCTACTTTGGACAACTTGCAGGCTATCGAATGTAGCCTGACCACAGGGCAGAGTCTGGCAAACTCCCCGTGGCGTACCAAATATGCCAAATACCAGTAACAATGGTGGGTCTCTTTCTCCTAAAGAGCCTTGAATATAATCTCAGGGCTGGGATGAAAGAGACGTTACTGGGGCCTGCTCGAGGCAATCGACGAATAACAGGATGATGAAATGAAAATGAAAAACACTTTCCTAACAAATACCTACTTGTCATGGGTGAATTGAGTAGGGCTGGAGCAATAATACACAGGAAATGCCTTTGCCTTGCATGAAGAGGACCTGGTTTGGATCCCCAGCACCCCACACGGTCCCCCAGGACCGATCCTGAGCACAGAGCCAGCAGTAAACCCTGAGCACTGCCGGGTGAGTCCCCCAAGCCGACAAATAAACAAGGTTCTCAAAACTACGTGTATGTGTGTGTGTGTTCTGGTTTTTTTTTTTTTTTTGGAGTTTGCAGTTCTTTCTCTTTCCCTCCTTTGCTGCCATGTGTGACTGGGAGTCACGTACTAGGTTGTGGAAGGGACTTGCACAGGCACTGGATGGATGTCATGCACAGACTCTGGCTGCTGTGCTCACAGGGACGGGTGGCCAGCTGCTGTGGTGCTTCCAGGCATGCGGACTGCAGGTCACAGTCCTGGCCCTGGATTCACACACCTTTGCAGTAACTGAGCTCACTGGGTCACGGGGCTGGGTCGCACACTTTACTTGTGGGGCTCGAACTCATCTGTTGTGCCCTGAGGAGGGAACACTGTTGCTGCCGAATCCTAGACTGACCCTCTGGATCAAGCACAGCACATGTGGAGGGGCACCAAGGGCCCTACTCAGGGTGTTAAGTTCCCCCTTGCAAGGATTGAGTCAGCCCTGGGGTCCCTTTTCTAGGAATTTTCAAAGCAAAGGAGTAAGAACTAAGTGACATTTTATGTCAGATGAATCAAGTTATCAATATTTTGCTGATTTCATTACATTTGTTTTCTCTCTCTTTTTCTTGGAGCTCTGAAACTAAATTCCAGACGTCTTTTTTTTTTTAATGAGGAGGCTCACCTGATGGTGCTCAGGGGCTGCTCCTGCCTCAGTGCTCAGGAGTAGCTCCTGGCAGTGTTCAGGGGACCACATTCTGTGTCGTGGATGGAGCTCAAGCTTCCTGCATGCAGAATATGCGCTCAAGCCCTTCAGCTCTCTCTGCGGTGCCAGGTGTACTTTTATCATAAAACACGTACACATCTTAGGTTTTTGATATTAAGTAAAAATTGGAGTAAATGAACTTTTGCGTTGTGACAGAAATCAGCATGCTGATACAAGTTTAGTTTTCCTTAATTCATTGGTTTTCTTTTTCCTTCTTCTCTGTCCCCTTTTGTGGGACTTGGGCGACAGCCCAAGGGCCTGGCAAGCTTGCTACACGTGTGTAAGCTCCAGCATGACCCTGGCCATGTATGGTCTCCCCCAGACATTGCCGGGAGCTTTCCTAACTTCCACAAGGTGCAGCCCCAAACCCAAACCACATGCCCCAGTTAGATCTTATCCCCATTTATTGCCTGCAGTAGAAATAACCCGACAGCTACACGACAGTGTGACTAACACAACTACTACATAACTTATGGGTCTGTTTAATTTGAAATGTCACTCTCTGGCCTGTGGGCAGTATGGCTCAGTGGTAGGGCACTTGCCTTGCCCTGGCTTTGGTTCTCATGGTTCCTTGCGCACCAAACTGGGTTTGACCCAACAAACAACAGCAACAACTTTAGCAAGCCTTTGCTATCATTGGTTATTTTGCTTCTAAGAGGCCAAATCATTAAGGTGAGACTATTTTTTATGATAGGCAAAATCACCACTTTTCAATTCCAAGGTGTGTATGTTGAATAGGGTCTATGGAAAAGAAACTTCATTTTTGGGGGTAAGTGAAGGCACCATGATTTGGGTTTTTCCTGGAGTTAAGAATCCTTCTAGGGGGGCTGGAGCAATAGCACAGCGGGTAGGGCGTTTGCCTTGCACGCGGCTGAACCCGGGTTCAATTCCCAGCATCCCATATGGTCCCTTGAGCACTGCCAGGGGTAATTCCTGAGTGCAGAACCAGGAGTAATCCCTGTGCATCACCGGGTGTGACCCAAAAAGCAAAAAAATAAATAAATACTTCGATATGCCAGACACAGTAACAACAAAGTCTCCAATGGAGACGTTACTGGGCCCGCTCGAGCAAATAAATACTTAAAAATATAAAAAAATTAAAAATGGAATCCCTAAGAACTATAAAAAAAAGAAAAAAAGAAACCTTCTAGGGACTGGAGTGATAGCACAGTAGGTAGGGCATTTGCCTTGCACGCGACTGACCTGGGTTTGAGTCTCAGCATCCCATATGGTCCCCCGAGCACTGCCAGGAGTAATTCCTGGGTGCATGAGCCAGGAGTAACCCCTGTGCATCACTGGGTATGACCCAAAAAGCAGAAAAGAATCCTTCTACTTCTTGAAAGGGTCCCAGATGTATTTAGGATCAACGGACTAGGTTCGCATTCATAAGTCGGAGGTGACTTTTGAGTTTCTACTTTGCTTCTTCTCCTTCTGCTGTTGAAACAAGCCATCATATCTCGGAGTCTGACTGGGGGCCTGCTGTCTTTTCAGCGGAACTCCCACCTCCCTACACAGCCATCGCCAGTCCAGATGCCAGTGGTATTCCAGTAATAAACTGCCGGGTGTGCCAGTCTCTCATCAATTTGGATGGCAAGCTTCACCAGCACGTGGTGAAGTGCACAGTCTGCAATGAAGCTACAGTAAGTGGATGTTTCATCCATTAATGAAAGCATAAATTGTTATTTGACACCCCCTCGCTCCGGGAGGTATTCCAGTAATGTTACTTAAAAGTAGATGTGGGCTGAGTACCGATACGGTGGTGGAGACAAGGCCTGGTCAGGGTGTCGGCTATTGTCACCTGCACAGGAAAGAATTCAAGTGCCAGTCAGAAAAGAAAGAAAGAGGATAAAGAGTTTATTTAAAGGATAGTATTCATGTAAGGATCAGCGTGCAGGCATACAATAGTTTATTGAGAGCAAGCCTACTACTCCACAGAGAGGAGAGCCATTTCTGTACCGACTTCTAATTTATAGAGATACAGAAATGAGCTCTGTTAATAAGGGATGGGAGATTTGTGATATTTCAGAGAAAGCGGAGGGGTTGAGGGTGGTTTCCTGAGTCAAGCTGTCACCCGGATTGTAACGTGTTTGGCTAATTCCTGGGGTTGCCCTGGCAACTGTAAACTGTTCTGCGGACAGTAGGGGATAGTACAGTGGGAAGAGTGATTGTCTTGCACAAGGCTGACCCAGGTTTGATTCCCAGCATCCCATATGGTCCCCTGAGCACTGCCAGGAGTAATTCCTGACTGCAGAGCCAGGAGTAACCCCTGTGCATTACTGGGTGTGACCTCCTCCCAAAAAAGAAAAATTTTCAGTTGACTTTTGGTAGTTCACAAGTAGATAAGAGTTGTCAGATATATCTATATACACACATATACATATATACATATATATGTATATATATGTATATATATATATTTATCACCCTGTTGTTCATCAGTTTGCTTGAGCAGGCACCAGTAACGTCTGCATTCATCCCTGTCACATGCTAGTGTAGCCCGATGGCATATTGGGGGCTCTTTCAGGGTCAGAGGAATGAGGACCATTATTGTTACTGTTTTTGGCATATTGAGTATGCCATGGGTAGCTTGCCAGGCTCTGCCGTGCAGGTGGGATACTCTTGGTAGCTTACCGGGCTCTCAAAGAGGGATGGAGGCTATTGGGGCAGCCTCTAATCACCTTTACAGGTGTTCCCAGTCAGGCATTTATGTGGGAAGGAGACTCTTGGTAGCCTGCTGGGTTCTCTGAGAGTGAGAACTAGACAGTAAGATGTTGCATGGCCACATTTGTGGCTGCACACTTCCAGGAGCTTGGTTTTATAGTCTCTGGATCTTGGCTGTTGATGGGGTTACATGGCCGTTGGTGGGTGTAACTGTCTAGCTACTGGAAGATGGGGGATCTGGGTAGAGGAGGCCCAGTCCTCAACCAAGCAGGCTTGGGGACCTGAGCTCTGGGTCCTGCACACCTGGGTTCCTCTGCCGGTTCCTCCATGTGTGAGGCTCGTCCTACTGTGTGGAGAGTGGTCTCAGCAAGGTTGTGGCTGGGTCCCGGAGGTCTTCAGCTCTACCTCCTCCACCCAGATCCCCCATCTTCCAGTAACTAGACAGTTACACCCGCCAACTGCCGTGTAACCCCATCAACGGCCAAGATCCAGAGACTATAAAACCAAGCTCCTGGAAGAGAAAAACGCAGAGTCTCCTGCCCCCGCATCTGGGTGTCCTCACCAGGGTCCCTTGGAGGGTGGAGGGTTGGGTTTCCCTCTCCTCCTTGAGCAGAGCCCTGGCAGCTGAAGACCTCCAGGTCCCAGCCACAGCCATGCTGAGACCATTCTCTCTGTCAGACATAAATAGAAAATTTTAAAACCACAAGGGCATGCAAGGTTTCCTTGGACTGGATGTTATATTGATTCCCTTAAAGTTTTTATTTTAATACTTATTCTCTTATTTCTCCATCCACACCAGGTAAGTTTTAAAGTTTGTACTTGCATTTGAAATGAAGGAGAGCATTCTAGTTTGGTTTTGCACAAATCTCAACACGACTGTGGGTTTTGCCAACAACCTCAATCTTATCATGTAGGAGTATTGAGTTCATACAGCATCAATAAGGGTTTGGTTATAAATAAACTTTTAGATATAAATAAAACTGTGCTGAATTTTTATATCATTACCATTCTTATTAGATAAGTAGAAACAATTGTGAATATTCTAGAAAATGTGAAAATGTGAGTTGTATCTTCCTGATTGCCTTCTATAGAATTATTGACATTGCAGTGGAGGAAAAAGTACAGAACTGTATTTCAGGGCTTCTGTAAGTTAGAACTTGCTAACATTTGCAGTGTAACTCAATCTTGTGTTTATCAGTGAAGAGGTGTTAGACAACTGGGAGCTTCTCTGTAGAAATTTTAGGTTGAAAAGAACAGATGAAGTGCTCAAGAGAGCATTCTTTTATGATTGCTACCATTTGCCCCATTCAGTTGGACTCTGAGTCCTCACGTCACTTGAAATAGGGCATCAGCATATCTAACTTCTGGGCAGCCTCTCCTGACTGGAACTTGATATTCTTGTGTAGATTAGTGAAATAATGCAAAAACAAAACAAGATCAAAATGTTCAAGGTAATAAAAGTCCTTTTTATTTTAGAAGAAAGAATTGGGAGGAGAAGTGAAGGTGTGTGTGTGTGTGTGTGTGTGTGTGTGTGTGTGTGTGTGAGAGAGAGAGAGAGAGAGAGAGAGAGAGAAAGAGAGAGAGAGAATCAACAACATTTTAGCTAGACTTAGAACATAGAATTTAAGGCTGAAAGAGATTGATTTTCAGAGCAAATTAAAAGAAAATAGGAGAACTCCTGAAGAAGCAGTAGACTTTTTGATGCATAACTATGAGTGTGAGGTATGGAGACTGATCACTCTCCAGGGACCGAACCCTTGCTCTACTCTCTAGTAGCTGAATATCTTTGGGAACGTCTCTAAATCGTAGCTTCCTCCTGTGACTGTAATGGTAACATTACTTAAAATCCTCAGAGGATGGTTAAAGTGCATGTTGCCTGACATACATGTGTATATTTTGACAAGATTATGAAAATTTAGAGACAGTGCTCTTCCTCCCACCCCCATGCCCTCTTCCTATGCCCCATGTCACTGCAGAACAACATGTCAGGGTGGACTAAAGCTGAGAAGCAGTGCTTGAAGTCTAGTTTAATTGCTTTGCTTTACAAATGATTCAAGTGAGGTCTGGGAGTTAAATGAGAATAAAATATAAAAACAAATCTGTCATCCAGCAAGCACACGTTTACTTAATGGTCACCCTGGGACATATAAGAATGGTTCCAAATTCTCTTTTGCTTGATATCCTATATATATAATACTTGTATTTGTGAATTTTAGATATTTTTTTTGGAATAACCATCAGTTCGGGTTTAGATTTAGATTATTCCTCTCAGTGTGTAATGGGGATTTTAAGTTCTAGTGTTGAATGTTATCTTTGGTGTTATTTATTCTTGCTTTTAAAATGGTTTTAAAGATTTAAAAAAATGCAAGGTATTAAGGGTTACTAGGAGGGATTTTTTTGGTTGTTAAAGGAGATTATGAGTTCAGTCAAATATACTGAGTGAAGTTTGAGAAATGTTCTAATTTGTCATCGACTCTTCTTTCCTTTTCTTCTGATTGAGCTTGATTTTCTCAGACAGATGCAAGATCCTTCCATAAACGCTCCTGGGCAGACAGATAGATGCCCTTGTCTTGTGAACCATAAAGGGATAACAACTCTAGATGGACACTAAATATGCTTTCTATATTAAAAGGCCACTAGAAGCTAGTTTTGAAATATCACCTTCATACTCAAATCTCTACAAATCTCCACTCTTCAGAGAGCGTTTGCCCACAACTGAGCTATTGAAAACTATGTAAGCTGCACTTTTCCATAGATTGTACTTTGGTATAACTATTAGAAGCCTTAGTTTTTAAGAAATGGTTTTCTTTGAAATCACAAGCAAGCTTTGGCAATCTGTACTTTGGTTAATGTGCTGACTTTGCGCTTTTCTCTTATCTAGCCAATAAAAAACCCTCCAACAGGAAAGAAATATGTTAGATGCCCTTGTAATTGCCTCCTCATTTGTAAGGACACATCCCGGCGAATAGGATGTCCGAGACCCAACTGGTAAGAGAAATACGATCCTTCTTTCATTTTTTCATTTCTCGAGAATTTATAAAAGAATGATAAGAAGCAGGGTTTGTTCTAGCCTTTGCAATCGCAGAGTTTATTCCTTGCTGAAGGTATTAAATGAATATCATAGGTCTGTGTGAGCTGTATATTCAAGCACCCAACCAAAGTTTCCTTGATTCTATTTAAGAACGTTATATCACTGTATCACTGTCATCCTGTTGTTCATCGATTTACTTGAGTGGGTGCCAGTAACATCTTCATTCATCCCAGCCCTGAGATTTCAGCAGCCTCTCCTTACCTGTCTTTCCCAACGCTGCCATATTGGAGGATCTTTCAGGGTCAGGGGAATGAGACCTGTTATTGTTACTGTAGTAAATCAATGGCTCATTAACCTTATTTTAAAAAATACCCAATTGGGGTCTGGGAAGAGGCAAGCTGAGAGCCTTTAGTAGTTCAGTCTCTGTCACAGAATTTCCCCCTTCACTCCCGGAGCACTGTCTGGTGAAGTTGAGCAGGCTTTCTGGGGCGCATCACCCCCCGCCCCCCATTACCAAACCATGAACTGAGCTTGTTTGGCTTGCATTGAGGAGGTAGGCATCGGTTGGGAGGCCAGTTAATTTACGTTATAAGCTTCAACTTGACATGGAAATGTGTTGATTGTTATTATGAACCCTACAATATGCAATGCTACTCTCTGCTGAGCATAATCTATGCAATGAATTCTGGAGTTATTTGCTCATGTGTAATGGCATCATGGATATCTTCAGATGGGAAAAGATCAACATCTTATCTGTGTTTCATTATGACCTTTAGCCTTTTGACCATGATACGGAGCACTGGTAGATGCCTCAGAAGCTGGGCTAGGGAACAGAATGTAAAGGACCCTCTCCTTTCCCTTTCTGTCCAGATCTGATTAAATGGGCATCAAAGTATTCCTGCTCAGAGAACTTTGGTTGTCACTCAACACTTTGGTGCTTTCTTGTTGATGCAGAATATATGGACTTAATTGGTCTAGCAAACTCAATTTGTCTTTCTAGTAAGGAAATGATGGGCTGGAGCGATAGCACAGCAGTAGGGTGTTTGCCTTGCATGCAGCCAACCTGGCCAAGCTGGGTTTGATTTCTCCGCCCCTCTCGGAGAGCCCAGCAAGCTACCGAGAGTATCTCACCCCCACAGCAAAGCCTGGCAAGCTACCTGTGACGTATTCAATGTGCCAAACACAGTAACAACAAGTCTCAAAATGGAGACATTACTGGGCCCATTCGAGCAATCCATGAACACCAAGAGGACAGTGACAGTAAGGAAATGATATTTTCTTATTTAACCATATAAGATGATTTAATTAATAAAAACTTGAAAATTACAGTTACATCATTTATGATTTAACTGTATATCATGCCTCCTTAAAAATACTTAAATCACTTCTGATTTAACGTATGTTATGGTACTATACCATAATATATGACTTCTATCACAAACATAACAAAAAAAATAACTTTTTGCTTTGAATGTTGACTATTTCTGTTTCCTACGATTTGACCCAAAATCAGATGTGGGGTTTACCTTTGTAAAAAATGAATGGATTTTTCAGTGCTGTAGTTTTATGTTTTGGGCTATATACTGAGGATTGAACCCTCGGTTCAGGTTTGGGAAAATGAAATTGCTTTCTTTCTTTCCACAGTAGACGCATAATTAACCTGGGCCCAGTGATGCTTATTTCTGAAGAACAGCCAGCTCAACCTGCATTGCCAATCCAACCGGAAGGAACCAGGGTCGTTTGTGGGCACTGTGGAAACACATTCCTGGTAAGCAATCGGATGTGTGTCTTAAGAAGGTCACTCTGTAAATATCAAGCATGGTTATAAAGTTTTGACCACTGTTCAGAGTTCTGTAGTATAGTCCAGTGGCCATTGCCTCAAAATATTAACATAGAGCCTTGCTATGGAAGATAGTTCAGCAGAGGTATAGCTAACATATACTGCATCTTTTGTGAGTTAGCTGAGATACATCCTCTGATTGGTTCAGTTGCTGAAAGAGGACTCAGGGGCAGGCTAATGGGGAGCAGGACCTTTTCTTTGGGGCTTAGCCTTGAAATTATCTTGGCATGATGAGCACGGGCCTATACTAAAATGAAAAAATTGAAAAATTATAATATTGAAGTAATCATTTCCTGAGGTTGGTTTTCTACAATTGTACAATCTCAGTGCCTGCATAGCAGCTTTCAGACTTGGATTTTCAGTGTCTCTTGACTCAAGGGTTCCCAAATTCCCAAAAGCAAACTACCTTACTTCCTTCAACTGTAAAATATTCAATTTTCTGATCTTAAAATAAACATTGGAATGCTATAACAAGTTGAGCAGAGATCCTAAGACAAATTACAAAGCCATAAAAAAAATCAGTGAGATTTGTTGTTTTCTTCACTTTTTAATTCTGTGCCAGTTTCTATAGATCTCTCCACAACTGTTTAGCACTTTAATTCTTGAAATACTTTTACTAGCAATACTAAATTTTCTTACCAAAAATGTCCTGAGAGAAATAGTTCTTTCTGTTTGAAAAAAAGCTTCTTGGTTTAGCTTTCTCAAATGTTGGAAGGAATTACTACTAATATTTTTGCTTTTGACCAAACCCAGCTGTGCTCAGGGCTTACTCTTGGCTCTGTGCTCAGAGATCACTGCAGGTGGGGATTGGACTCTGAGGGATTAAAACTGGTTTGGCCCAGGCAACCACTCATCCTACCTGCTGTACTATCACTACAGCCCTGGAAAGGAATGAATTAGAAACAACAGTGAACAAATTCCCATCAGTTTGATTTCAGTTCTCTCTGATGTTTATGTAACAGAGATCATTTCACAGTGAATTAACATTCATTAGGTCTGAAAAAAAAATGAAGATAGAAGGGGGTATGGTGCTGCCAGCAGGTCACTCTGTACCTGTGAGGCAAGTGCATCAGAAGCCTGATGGCGCCTTCAGACTTCCAGATACCCCAAAATTGCTGCTGTGCCTTTGGCCAGACCCCAAAACTTGGGGCAAAGTTTACCAAGGAAGTAAACGGCCAAAAGTTAGGTATGCGGGAGACACACCCACAAACCACCTCCGGCTCAGTTATCTAATTGGAGGCATGTCCTCTCTGATTCCTTATCGAACCGCTTACAGCCATGATTCATGGTTTGGTTTTGTCTGGTCCCTGGCTCACTGTTTTCATATTCCACATCTGGGGTTATGATCATCTGGTATTTGTCATTATCCTCATGACTGAGTTTATATTGCACACTCTTTCAAAATTTTGACCTGCTGCAGTAAACCTTCTCAAACATCTCAGTAGCAGCCCTACATGGAAAAGACCCAATTCTACTACTTACAGGGATAAGGAAGAACATGGCGATTTGTGCTTTGGAAGGAGGTTTTTTGTCAGACACAAGAAGCAAAGACAGAAGAAAAAGTTTTTGAACTTCTGTTCAACCTGCATTTAATTTGTTTATTTTGTGAGTTTATCTGAAGGAAAAAAATGAGTAGTTGCATTGTAGTCATGGATTAAAATATTTGGATATTTCAAAGGTTAGTCTTAGAGATAAAAAAAAAATACATGAAGAGGTCTTATTTTCCTTAAGCAAGCAATTTGTTTTTAGTTAGAGGATCTAGTGAAACACAGGAAATGTGTTTTTATTCCTTGGGAGTGAATTGAGACATAAAGCTGAAAGAAATGACCCTGGTTACAGCATTATGTTTGAATCCCTTTGGAAACAAACTAAAATTGCGTCAGAATCTTGGAAAAAAATCATGGGAAATGTTTCAGAGGGGGATCCCAAACTTTATTTAAGGGTTGGGGTGTTATTTTAGAGGGGAAAAAGCTCAAAGAACCATGGGAAGTTTATTGCTTTTGTTGTGATGCCTGATAACATTTGACCTGGAAGAAATACTTATCAGATTGAATAGTTTTCAGTTGTTTTTTTTTTTCCTTTTCAATCCCTCTCTATTTATTTTACAGTGGATGGAACTGAGGTTCAACACTCTGGCAAAATGCCCACACTGCAAAAAAATGTAAGTTTTTGACCACTGCAAGTACTAATGGGAATTACTTGAGAACAAATGTTAAATCATTCAGAATTATCATTTCAGTAGACTTTGATTTTAAGATGTGCTGGGGAATTAATGCAAACTTACATTTACACTTTTCAAAGATGAAAAGAAAGGGCATCTTTATTTATTTATTTTTATTTTTTTTCATTTTTTAATTTTTATTAGTGAAACACCATGAGGTAGAGTTGTAGACATAAAATTTTTGGCTTGGGTTTCAATTATACAATTATTGAGTACCCATCCCTCCACCAGTGCCCATTTTCCACCACCACGGGTCCCAGTATCCCTCCCACCCCCCCCATCTCCCCATCCCAAGAAAGGGCATCTTTAAACTGATTAATATATTTCATCTTAAAATGAAAATGATTGAATGTATAATTTTCTAATAAGAAGTCAGTTACTCACCCAAGAATGGCCGAGATTAGTACCAGGAATTTTACTCCATGGCTTGGAGGCCAACCACACATACTAGGGGGAAAGGGAGCTCAGATAAAGAAGGGAGCACCAAATAAAGGTGTTGGGAGGATCCTCCCAGGATGGGAGAAGCATGCTGAAAGTAGACTATAGACCAAACATGATTGTCACCCATTGCCTCTTTTGCAAACCACAACACCCAATAAGACAGAGAGAACAAAAGGGAATGCCCTGCCACAGAGGCAGGGTGGGATTGGGGGGATGGGGAGTGGGAGGGATACTGGGATCCGTGGTGGTAGGAAATGGGCACTGGTGGAGGGATGGGTATTTGATCATTGTATAATTGAAACCCAAGCACAAAAATGTGTAAGTCTGCAACTGTACCTCATGATGTCTCACTATTAAAAAAATTTTTAATAAAAAAAAAAGAAATCAGTTACTAAGACTGTGAAATTACTAAAAAGGTTAGTAATCTGGTAAGGATTTTCCAGTGTCCTGAGGTGTTCTGATATTGCAAATTATGTAAAATCTGTAATGAAGAATTGAGCTGTAATATTGGAGAATGGTAAAAATGGGGATGTATAATTAGGTATCTGTTAATTTTTGTCATCTTCTGTTTAATAAAATCACTATCTGATGACAAATCTTGTTCTATTGCATTGACTATGCAGTCTATTTGTTTCTATATGATGGCTGTAAAGGCAAAGAATAAAAGCATTGTACAAATGAGGAAAATTGAAAGTATTTTAGTTAACAATGTGTTAGGACCTCTGTGACACCACAACATCAACAAGATTCTGGGATTTTTCTGGCAATAAGAATTGTGCTGGCTTTGACAGTTTGGAGTCAAAGTACCCAAGGCATAGTCAGGCCATCAGGGCCATGTGGGAGGAGACTTCTCTCCCAGGAAGGCTGTTTCTCCTGACTGACTGCCATAGGAACTGTGAACATGAGAAGTCATTGTCACTCAGTACTCAAAGGTTTTGTTGAACGTGGTCACACAGATACCGCCTAATGCATTCCCAACTCTCAGACTCCCAGGGCAAAAATGGGTGCTTAGCATGAATCACAGTGGAGGCACAGGAAGCCCGTCACGGAGTGGTGGAACTTGCTAGACCCCCTAAGCGTTCAGGCACCCACCCAGGGCCAACCTTGAAAGGGTTGGGCCTTCCGGGGGCTGGAGCAATAGCACAACAGGTAGGGCGTTTGCCTTGCACTTGGCCAACCTGGGTTCGATTCCTAGCATTCCATATTGTCCCCCAAGCACCAGAGTCAGGAGTAACCCCTGTGCATCACCAGGTGTGACCCAAAAAGAAAAAAAAAGTGGGTCTTCCTAAGGAGGTTGTGATAGTCACTCTTCTGCAGAGTCTATGTTGACAACACGTTTTTCATTTTAAACTTATTGTTCTCCATGGATATGTGTGCATCAGAATTTAAATCAATCTGGAATCAAATCCAGAAACCTAACTGGAGTATTCTGACATTTCAGTGTTTAAAATGGAAAAGCAGTTCTTCAACATGAAAGCTTGTAACTATCTCACGGTGATTCAATAAAATAAAATTAAAAAAAAAAAGAAAAGAAGTTCTTCGTTTAATGATGATGATCATTTACAATGTAAATATCTCATAGTAAGCAATCCGGAGAGGATGGTTTCTAGGAGAAAAGAGTTGAAAAGTGTCTGACATGTGTGTATGTATACATATATGTGTAGGTACATATATGTATACATTTATTGGTGCTAGGTCTGATTCCAACTAATACAACTTTCTTACAGCTTATTTCTAGCTTCAGGTGAATGAGATTTTTTCAAATTTTATTTGTGAAATTATTTAAGTTCCTTTATTTGGGGAGTGGACTTCTCCCAAGCAATGCTCAGGGGTGACTCCCAGTGATACTCAGCTAAGGGAACCCCAGTAGCTCCGTGCCAGGACCCCAAGATGCAGAGCTCGGGCCCCCTTGGGACACAGCCCATAGTGCTGTGGGGTCCCCAGGGCTGTGTCCCTCTGGCAGACTTGGGTAGAGTGAGGGAAGATGTGAGGTGCAGGGTCTTGAACTTGGGTCCCGGTGCATGTATATCCTGCGCCCCTGACTCTGAGCTATCTACCTGGGCCAATTATTTAAACTCTTAACTTTCTGGAATTCAGCAGAAGTTTGTACATTGAAAAGCAAAGTATACATTGAAAGGTCTATACAAATATAAAAATATACTCTAAATAGGTATGTGCATGTTTCATCCATATTTCTGCGCTTTATTCGTATTTTCACACAAAAAAGAAGAGAAATAAATTGTATTTTCACCAGTACCATTGAAAATCTTATAGAGAACAAAAAATATGAACTTTTTGTGATGATCAGATTGTACTTTAAGAGCAGTGATATTGCTGTGTGTACACTTACATACTAGCCATAATCTTCACAATCCCGGAGGGCTGGGATTGTTCTCATTTGACAGACTAGGAGTTGTTTTAAAAGGGCTAAGGATTTTGTTCGAGGAATTTTCTTCGTTACTTAAAAACAGTGTTGATATTTTGCTAATAATAAAGAAGTCTTGAATCTCCAGATACTCCATGACTAGTTAAAATATCACAAGACAGTGTAGTAATGTGGGGAATTTGTATCAGTTGTTTACAAAACAACATAGGAATTCACAAGGAATGAGTTGCCACAGATGTCAGTCTTAGAATAAAGCTCATGGAATTGAAATCACATGCCGACAGAGGAGAATCAGGCCACTTCATTATTGACCCGGGCAAAGAAGCAACTATCAGATGAGCATGCACGGGTTATATCTCAATTTTTCTCCTGGCTTTTCTTTTTCATAAAATGGTGAATTATCTATTGAGCATTTTGGAGTGAATTATATTTATTTAAAGAAATAAATTATATTTCTTTAAATATTTCTATGTACAATATCTTTAAATTATTTTTCAGGTTTCAAAGTTATGAAGTGACCATGAAACTGTCTGGACACATTTATCTCATAATCTGTATTAGGGAGATCTCCCCCCCCACCACCCCCTAAAGCTCCAGAGTCCAAAATGCATGTTCTCATTTCACGGTTTCCTTTTCTTTTTAGTTTTGGGGCTGCACCCAGCTCAGCGCTTGGGGCTTGTTGCATAGAGCTATCTTTCTGTATTTTGTTTTGACGTTGTGCAGACAGTGCTGCTATTGTAGCTGAAGGTCAAGTTTATCATTTCTCTTCAGTTGTGCTTCTGGGGCTATTGTCAGACAGGAGAATACCTGTCTGTCTGTACCAGGGGGTATTTTATTTTGTTTTGTTCTAGGACCACACAGTGATGCTCAGGGGTTATCCTGGCTCCACACTCAAGAATCACTCCCGGTAGAACTCAGGGGACCAGGTGCGGTAACAGGGATTGAACCTGAGTTGAACTTGAACTTGAACGTAGTCTTACCTACTTAGGTCCCTTATTATCTCCTGTTGAGAAAAAAAAATTCATGCATCAACTCCACTGGAAATTAGCTTTTAACAAGCTAATAGAAAGCACCCCAATTATACAAGCAGTTACTAGCTCTCCCCATAATTCCAGCACCCCTAAGGGTCCATGAGACCCTCTTTTGGGAAACTGACCTCCAGCTGTATGGTAGCATTCTGAAACACAGCTTAGACTATATTTCAATACAAAGGCTGTACTGGGAAAACTAAGAGTGATGGCAATTTAATCCATTATAATTATATATATTATATATGTATAGTACTTCCTGTACTATCTTCTTTGTCTCTGTTGTCTTACTGAGGATATTCTCTCACATATCAGTGATTTTTTTCCTCTTCAGTCTCATCCTTTCATTTTGTTTTTTTGGGGTGTTCTTTTATAATTTTCCTTTAATTCAATAAACAGTCCCATGCTCTTCCAGGGGCTTAAAATCCAAGCTATAAACTTGCTTTGGGTACTTTGTAGAAGGAAGTGCCCGTGCAAAGGCACAGTGGAATAGAACTGTGAGATGTGCCGTTAAGGAAACACGTTGGATTGAATGTGAAGGGATGAGGAAGAGAGATTGGGGCTCAGGCTGTCCTTCTCTCTGAGAGACTGTGAAACCAGTCAGTAAGATAGCGAATGCATGACCTTGGTGAAATGTCTGACAGATCACAAGTTTATTGCAAATATTCTATATAGAGAGACTTTTGGTTGGGAGGCCGAACCTTTTCCCTAAGAAGTTTGGCTCCATCTATTTACTTCTCAAGATTTACTTTGGATCAATATGGCCTTGACCTCTCACTTATTTTGCCAAAGTAACAGAACTGGAAAAATTCTGTATTGATTAATATTTTTGGCTATTTGGGGGCCACACCCAACAGTGCTCCGCAGTTATTTCTGGCTCAGTGCTCAGGGCTCACTCACTTGGGGGACGTGGGAGATCCAACCCGGGTCAGCCAGGCAAGGGCCTTAAATCACTGTACAATCTCTCCTCTCCAGCTCTTTTTAAAATAAGTTCACGGTCACAGTCCTCCCGTTGTTCATTGATTTGCTCGAGCGGGCCCAGTAACGTCTCCATCCTGAGACTTGTTGTTACTGTGTTTGGCATATCGAATACAACACGGGTAGCTTGCCAGGCTCTGCGTGCGGGCGAGATACTCTCAGTTGCTTGCCGTGCTCTCTGAGAGGGGCGGAGGAATCGAACTCGGGTTGGCCATGTTGGCCGCTTGTAAGGCAAATGCCCTACCGCTGTGCTATCGCTCCAGCCCTTAAAATAAATTAAATTAAAAAAATTATTGTTATTGTAGTTAAGAGCAACATGTTTATAATAGTGCTAATATTTGTGATTTTGGTATAGACACTTTACTTCAAAGCTCCCAACAGTGCCTTCTGTCCTTCGAGTTTGCCTCTTCAAACCCCTTGCCCCTATGCCATTGGGGTTCTCAGTTTTGTTGTCCACAGTCAAAGGTTTGTCATCATCTTTTAATGTCTGTTCTCTTGCTTTGTCTCTATGTCATAGATGAGTGAGATCATCCAGTATTTGTCCTTCTCCCTCTGACTTATTTACTCAACATGATACCTTCCAGTTTCATCCAAGTTGCAGTGAACTGTAAGAACTCATCTTTCCTTACAGCTGCATGGCTTCCATTGTGCAGACATGCCACAGCCTCTTACCCATCCGTCTCTCCTTGGGCATTTGAGTTGTTCCCATATCCTGCCTATTGTGCTAAGCAGTGCAGCGAACATAGGTGCACATGTGTCTTTCCAAAGGAATGTTTTCTTGTTTGAGGGGCTGGATGCCAAGAAGTGGAGTTACTGGATCATTTGGAAGCTCTATTCTTGCTGTTAAAGGAATCTCCGTTCTGTTTCCTGTAGAGAGTGAACCACACACAGGCCCATCAGCAGTGAATGAAGGCTTGCATTCCCCTGATAAATTTCAAAGAACACTTTTTTCATATGCCAAGAAATCTTCCAATTATCATCAGGGAGGTATTCATCTTCTCAATGGAGTCACTTTTTCTTTGTTCTTGATCATGCTTGTGGGTGCTCAGGGAACCACATGGGCTGTTAGGGATTAAACCTGGGTCAGCTCATGCCAGGCAAATACCTACCTGCTATATTATTGCTCCAGCCCCAACATTTATTTATTCTTTTGCTTTTAATACTTTATATTTTTCTCCCACTCTCAGAATTTTACTTCGTGAAATCTTTTTCTGACTTCATTTTCTCTTCCAAATGATTTGCCCTCCCATTGATCATCGATTTGCTCGAGCGGGCCCAGTAACGTCTCCATTGGAGACTTTGTTGTTACTGTGTCTGGCATATCGAATACTCTCGGTAGCTTGCCGGGCTCTCTGAGAGGGGCAGAGGAATCGAACTCGGGTCGGCCATGTTGGCTGCGTGCAAGGCAGATGCCCTACCCGCTGTGCTATTGCTCCAGCCAATGATAGAATATTACTATTCTCAAGAGTTGGAATTTGAACACATTGTATATGTACTTCCTTCCACATTTTTGTGTTGTCTGTATCCCATTTAATTACAGATCTTTTTGATGCTTCAGGTGTGAACAAATTACATATAGTCTGTATATTTTCTATAGTTATTTCAACCTAGGTGTCCATAGGTTCCTCAAAAACAATAAATCCATTTCCTTACCTCACTCCTATGCATTAATGAATTATATTTATCTCCTCCTATTTGTTCAGGCACCCAAGCCACTAATCTGAGGATATGTTTATTCCCTTTCCAAATGATAACAAGACCTAGCAATATGCCTTTTGGCATTTCATTTCCCTTCTCGGAGGCCCCTGATTCTCGCTTGACTTGAGTGCATTCAGAACCTTCACCAGAAAATTCTGCTATAGCTTTCTGATTTCTCTTTTGGTTTTTAACCCCGTTAAAGTACACTTGTCCCCAAATAAGTTTTTGTTTGCTTGTTTTGGAGCCACACACAGCAATGCTCTGGGCTAACTCCTGACTTTGTGCTCAGGGATCCCTCCAGACAGTGTTCGGGGGAATGTGTTGGGTGCCGGGAATCAGACCTAGGTCAGCCACATGCAAGGCAGATGCCTGCCCCTGTGTTGTCTCTCCGGCTCTCAAATAAGTTTAATTAACAAATAATAACTAGTATATTTAGAAAAAAATAAGAACTTTAGAAATAAGTTAAGGGAAATTAACTCACTTTCCAACCTCTCTCATAGCTCTATATATTTAAGTTAGCGTCAGTGGCTATGCAGAAGAAGTCTGAGCATAGCTTCCTGATACTCCCCTTTGAGTTGTAATTACTTTCTTGATTTTCTTCCTCGTCTGTGAGTTGGGAAAGTCATCTGCAGCTAGATTTGTTTCTTCACTTGACACTGGCAGTAGCAGCCCATGAGAGAACAGAGTCGTCTATCATTTTGTTTCCATACAAGATTTCTTACATACAAAGAAATGAATACTTCTTTGTGTTTGTATTTGGGCTATACCTGTTGGTGCTTTGGGCTGACTCCTGACCTAGCTCAGGGATGACTGCAGGCAGTGCCTGGGACCAAATGGGATCAGCCGTGTGCAAGTCCGGTGCCTTAAACCCCGACTATCCTCCCCCCAAACAAACTGACTTTGAAGTTACTGTTCCATGACAGATTTTTAGACTTTCTCTTATAGGCTTAAAAATTAAAAGAACGATGATTCTTTTTTTTTTAATTTTTATTAGTGAGACACCAGGAGGTACAGTTGTAGACTTACAAATTTTTGTGCTTGGGTTTCAATTATACAATGATAAAATACCCATCCCTCCACCAGTGCCCATTTCCCACCACCACGGATCCCAGAATCCCTACCACCCTCCATCCCCCCATCCCATCCTGCTTCTGTGGCAGGGCATTCCCTTTTGTTCTCTCTCTCCTATTGGGTGTTGTGATTTGCAAAAGAGGCAATGGGTGGCAATCATGTTTGGTCTATGGTCTACTTTCATCATGCTTTTCCCATCCTGGGAGGATCCTCCCAACACCCTTTATTTGGTGCTCCCTTCTCTATCTGAGCTCCCTTTTCCCCTAGCATGTGTGGCTGGCCTCCAAGCCATGGAGTAAAATTCTTGGTACTAATCTTGACCATTCTTGGGTGTTAGTCTCCTATTTTGTTACTTTATTTTCCCCAGATGAATGCACTCTAAGAATGATGATTCTTATGGTTATTTAATGAGAAAAATTCACTCCTGGTGGTTCTCAGGGGACCACATGGGGACAGCACCACGCTCTGGGACCCTTGCATTGAAGCTGGTTGGCAGAGAATCACCAGGAGGTTTCTCCAGGCCTCCAAAGCACTGTTTGGGAGGAGAGGAAGAAAGGGAGGAAGGGAGAGAAAGAGAGAGCGCAAGAGATAAAATTTTAATACAAATAATATTTTTATGACAAAAGTAAAAATTTCTGAGAGGCATTAAAAATCATAAATTGGGACATGGAGAGCTCTTTGCCTGAGGTGTTGGTTCAGTTCTTGACACTTCATGGTCCCCTGAGCACAGGAATGGGTCTGACCCCCAAACTACAAACAACCAAGCAAGCAAAGATCATATAAAGCTTGGGCTGGGCTCTGGCCCAATGCTCAAGGCTTGCCTAGTAACAGTGAGATCCAAGGTTTCATGGGTTTCTTTCTCTTCATTGTTTTCACTCTTATTTTCCTATTTTTTTTTACACTGTATACTAATCTCCAAATATTTTAATTTTATTTTTTAATCTACAAATATTTTTAAAAAATCAAATGGTATTTATAAAGTAGCATTGTTATCTTTACATTTCCATGGAGTGGATTTTTTGGGGTAGGTATTTATTTTGTGGTGTAGCTCCTAAGTGGTGTTCATGAGGTCCACTGGCCCCTCCCAGTGACCCTTGGCAACAGGACAGGGGTGGTTCAATGTGGAGGGCCCTGAAGATGCAGTGCTTGGGGTTCAGCAGACGCAGCAGTACTGGGGATCACTTGGTGCTTATGATCCAACCAGGGCCGGCCGCAGGCAAAGCATGTGCTTGAACCCACCTACTGTATTTCTTCCTGCAAAGAACATTTTTTTTTTCAAAAAAATATTTTTAACTTGGAAGGCCATATTAGCCGCAGTGATTTTCTTGAGTGTTATTAAAGACCAAGGATGGAACTCTGGAGTCACAATAATATATTGCCAATTCCCCTCTTATCATCTTCCCATTTTACGTATTTCTAATTTGGGGACCACTCTGCACAGGCTTGAGAATCCATGTGATGCCAAGGATAGGACAGGGTCATGTCCCTGGATCTGGTTTCCCTTTTTATCTCTCAGTAAATTTACATGATGTATGTTTGCATGTTCTCAGTGTTACAAGAAGTAAATGACAGTATTGCTGATGAAGCCATATGTAAAAAGTCACAGGGATTCAACGAGGAATATTATGTCAATCTTCATTTTTTCCCTCCATGAATTTGCAGTTCATCTGTGGGCAGTGCACTTCCCCGGAGACGCTGCTGCGCGTATATCACCATTGGAATGATTTGCATTTTCATTGGCGTTGGATTAACAGTGAGTATTACACTCCTTGCTGTTTGGACACTTTTCTCTGAATTTCTTTAATAGTAGTAATGATGAGGTCACTCAGGTTTTGTAGTGATGCTGGTGATTGAATTCAGGGCCTCGAATATCCCTAGCACGTGCTGTGTCTTTGGATCATGGATCATATCCCACTTCCGCCCCAACTCCCCCAAGTGGATCTCGCCTCTACAAGTGAGATGCTATCTTGGATCCCTCTGAAGGTCCTGGACGTTGGGAAATTTTTTATCATTCATTTAACCAAAAAATCCATTTTTTTTTACGTAATGCAGTACCAATTTTGCCACCATGAGGACCAAAGCAACATTCATCCATAGAGGTCTGAAAAACCATTATTCTTTATTCAAATTTAAAGATTTTTTTTTTATGTAGGAGTACTGCTATTTATTCAGCCACTGATGAGCTGATTCAATTGTGCATGAACTCCAAGGATTATTTTAAACATGAGGATGGCCTATTTTTAGAGGAGACTAAACTGAAAGATAGTGGAATAGGGGATTTTTTCCAAAATAGGAGTCAGGGACTCATCTCTTTTGTTGGCCTTTACTTTCTATGCACTTTTTTTGGTTTTGTTTTGGGGTGATACCAGTGATGCTCAGGAGTTACTCTTGGTTCTGTGCTCAGGAATTACTCCAATGGTGATTAGGGACCCATATGGGATCCCTGGGTTGGCTGCATGCAAGACAAGCACTAGACTTGCTGTAGAATCTCTCTGGCGACTCCAAGTACCTTTGTTTTATTTAGCTCCGCATCACTAGCAATGTTCCTGTTGGGTCACACAATATTAAGGTGTTCCAGCATTATTTATTTATTTTTTCATTTTGGCACCACAGCTGGTGATGCTTAGGACTTGTTCCTAGTTCTATACTCAGGGAACATCGCTGCGAATGGAACCCAGGTTAGCCATCAGCTTGCAAGGCAAGCACCTTCCAGGCTATACAAACTCTCTAGCCCAGGTATTACAAAGATTCCTTTTAGCGATTAGATACTTTAGACTAGCCTTCTTCAACTCTTCTACACTGCTTTAGAGGATGTTTTTATTTACTTCTTAAAATTGATGGTAAGTGCTCATTTGTAAATCATAATCTATCAGTATAGTCAGCAGACATACCAAATCAGTATTTTATAGGGACTTTGAGGCCTCAGAGATATATTGTATAAACATCACATGTCAGCCAACATGAATTTACTAAGTAGATATATTCTCAAATTTTCTTACCTTTGTTTTTATTTTAGGTGGGCACCCAAGATTTTGCAAGACGATTTCATGCAACCTATGTTTCTTGGGCCATTGCTTATCTCTTAGGTTTGATTTGCCTTATCCGAGCTTGTTACTGGGGAGCCATAAGAGTGAGTTATCCAGAACACACTTTTGCATGAGCCTGTTTACGAGTCAGCGATGCAGGTGATAATATCCAGCAGTTCTTGATAAGCTTCTCTGGACATCTTAAAATCACTCATGCTAATGGATTCCATTCGAGTCTATGTATAAAAGTTTAAGAGCTGGGGAGTCCTATGAACTAATGCTCATTGCACTACATTATATGCAAACGGTTTGTTTCGCTGCTAGGTTTTCAAGTTCCAAATAATAAAGCCAGTATCATTACATTCTTTTGTATATCTTAATGACATTTTTTGGGTTTTTTAACCAAACATTACCTGTAACATTGGCCTTTCATTATTCATAAATCAGTTATTCCATTACTTGTTAGCTTGTGAGTATTCTCAGAAAGTGTTTATAACTGTTTCTAAAATAGCTTCACATTTATACTTACATTTTAAACATGATCAGAATTGCTTGCTTTAAAATCTAAGCAATATACCATTTGCTTGAACTGCTTACTGTCATTTTAACCTAAGATCATAGTGACCTTATTCAGGAAAAAAGGTTTGTGTGTACCTTCAAAGACTTGACATTCTTGTTAGATAAAAAACCATTTTTAGACACTGTATGCCTGTTTTTTGTTGTTTGTAGAAAGATACAATATTTTGGTAGTAATTTAAAATACAGGAATGAAAGTATTTATTGTCCACAGTTGGAAATAATGTTGGATAAATGTTTTTGTTTTCTCAAAGATCACAGGACCTTTGTCTTTAATTTTTTTCTTTTTTAATTTGTCAGTGATAAATGTTTCTGTCTAGATAATATAAATTTAATGTTTATCAGCTGTGTGTATTCCTTTGGAGAGTCTGGAGGAACGATTTCACATGCTTTATAATACTTAACCGTTTAAACAAAGATATTTACATTGGGTTGTCCTCTTTTTCATTAGATCAAGGTAAATTTTTCTTATTAGTATAACTATGGACTACTTATATGTAAAGGAAGACATTTTACAGTAGCTAAAATGTTGAATTAGAGATAGTTACTCTTACCACTCTTCTCAAATATAGTTGGTCAGATAATTACCCAATTACCTGATCAAGAAAATAAATCAGTAACAAAAATCAACATAGTTTTCTAAGGTTTCACTTGGATTTAAGGAGTCAGCTCTTGCACTGCCCATCTTTGCCGTTTTGAAAAAGATATTGCTAACTTGAGAAGAAATATCCTAAAGCCTTTAATGTATTAGAATTAGGTGAGATGATCTGAATCAATTGTTATTTCAGGGATAAGAATAATATTTGAAATGATTATGTACCTAATTTGTATGAAATGTACTCATCAGAGAGTTTGGAGCAAAATATATGTAGACTTCAAAAAGTAAATGATAAATGTATAAATGCAGTAGCTCAGGACTATATGTACCTTTGAAAGTAAACTAATAAAGATTATTGTTCAAAATTACTTGTTCTATTCCATTTTTAAAACATTTTCAAACTTGCCTTGAGGTCTTATCCTAATGAGCTTTCATCTTTTAAGAATGTATTTAAATTTCTCTTTTATGTAATTTAAAAATTATTTTCATGATTTTTATCTTAAAATACATTTTAGGGTCCAGAGAGATGGTACAGCAGGTAGGCAGGGGCAGCTGCCTTGCACATGGCTAGCCTGGCGTCTTATGACATTAGTGAGTTGAAAAAAATTCATGTTTATTATCTATGGTCCTCTAAGTCCTGCCAGGAGTGATCTCTGAACACAGAGCCAAGAGTAAGCCCTGAGCACAGCTGGATGTGGCCCAGAAAATAAAACCAAACCAAAATACATTTTAAATTCATTTAAAATACACTTTATTTTAGGCATGAAGTAAGAATATATTTTAGGGTTTAGTTAATATAACATTATTAAATAATTCTTTTTAAAATCCCATATTAAATTATATCCTACATTATCATATTCCTTTTGGAATATTACTCCATGCCAGCAGGAACCTTGGTGATCTTGCTTATTGCTTTATCTCCAGCATTTTAGAACAATGCCTAGAGCCTGGGAGGTTTGGTTTTTGTGTCATGAATGAATACGTAGGTTTTATGTGCTTGGATTTTATATTTTGTTCCAAAATGCACAGGTAAATGTTTATTTAATCTTGTGGGAAGGGAAAACTTTCAAGTAGAATTCAAAAGCAGAAACTATCTATGAAACAATGGATATTTTATACGAGTAAAGAAATCCGCAGCAAAAATGCAAACTGCTGAAGATATTTTCAAAATCAGACAAAGAATTAGTATAGGAAAGAGTGAAAGGAATGAGAAAGGAATTCACAATGAAATTAACATGAATTTTTTCAACTCACTAACGTCAATGAGAAAAGACACTATTTTCACCTACTATATGAATAAAGAAGAAAAACAATATTCTATTTTGTTTGAGGGACACACTAGGTAGTGATGGGGGCTACCCCTGCCTGGGTCCTCTGGGATCGTGTGTGGCAATGCGCAGAGCCCCACACAGTTCCAAGGACAGAACTTGGGGCTCCAGCAAGCAGACCATTGCTTCAGCATTTTGAGCTATCTAACCCAGACACACACACACACACACACACACACACACACACACGAACACACAAATACACACACTCACACACACAGATGCATGGTAATTCTGTCTCTTGGAATGTTATAGATAAGAGCACAAATAGATGTTTGCAGCATTCACAGATGATTCTGAGGTAGACTTCTTTTTGATTATACTCTGAGAAACTATTTTATAATATACTAACATATACATTATTTTACTTTTGTAAAGGAAATGTTTTGATATTTGAGTAACTGCTACCATTTTTTGGTTTTGTTTGACCAAGCAGTGCTTGTGCTTCCATGCTGAGATAATTCCATATTTGTGCTCTATGCAGATTATAAAATCTAAATTTGCATTTATTGATTTTTTTGATGTGGATGTAAACACTGAAGAAAAAACCTAGTGTTTAATCTGCCTTATATAGGTTAATGTTTAATCTGCCAGTTATAATTTTACCATTGAAGAAATGCAGAGGTTGAGTAATTAGATAAAAGCCATTATACTTCTTCTATGATGCATCCGGTTGGAATCTGCCTGTATGCTTTCAAAGTGGGTCTGCTTTCCATTAGTGCATGAGATTTTATTGTGCTTTGTAGAAGTGAAAGTTGGTGCCCCCTGCAGTTCACTGCCTGTAACTTATCTGTGGAAAGAAAATTAGAAAATATTTTTCCCTATTCATTTCACAAAGAATAGATTATTCTAGGTGTTTTTTCTTTATTTGCTTTGCTTTTGGTTTTTGTTTGGGGGCCCCATGTGGCAGAATTCAGAGCTTACTCCTGGCTCTGTGCTCAGGATCACTCCTGGCAAACACTTTACCTAATGTACTATCTCTCCAGCCTTAGGATATTCTAATTTGAAAATTGTTTCTATAAATTTAATATTATTCCAAATTTGATTTTAGAGAATTTTTATGTTAAGAATATTTGTTTGGCTTTGGTACATCTACACAATGGAGTACTATGTAGCTCTTAGAAAAGATGAAGTCATGAACTTTACATACAAGTGGTACAATATGGAAAGTATCATGCTAAGCGAAATGAGTCAGAAAGAGAGGGATAGACATAGAAAGATTGCATTCATCTGGGGGATATAAAGTAACAAAATATGAAATTAATACCCAAGAATATCTGAGATCAACACCAGGAGGATTACTCCATAACTTAGAGGCCAGCCGGGTATTCTAGGGGAAAGGACAATTCAGATAGAAAGGGGAACACCAAGTGGAGGGTGTTTGGAGGATCCTCCCAGGAGGGGAGATGCACGTTGAAAGTAGACTGGACTGAACATGTTAGCCACTCAATGCCTCTTTTGCTGATCACAACACCCAAAAGGAGAGAGAGAACAAAAGGGAATGCCCTGCCACAGTGGCAGGGGGGGATGGGGGGATGGGGGGGAGGGATATTATCCTGGTGGTGGAAAATGGGCACTGGTGGAGGGATGGGTATTTGATCGTGGTATGACCGAGATCCAAGCACAAAAATTTGTAAATCTACAACTGTACCTCATGGTGTTTCACTAATAATAATAAAAAAAAGAATATTTGTTTGGGGGCCACACCTGGCATTTCTGAGCTCTTACTCCTGGCTCTGCACTCAGGGTTCATTCCTGCTGGGGTATGGGGGCCACCTGGCATTCTGGGGATAGAACCCCGGTGGGCCACAGGCAAGGCAAACGTTCTACCCATTGTACTATTTCTCTGGCCCATATGTTTATTTTTTTCTAGTTAATAAATTGATTAGAATAAATTGACATACAGTGCCTTTTTATTTCCCCCTGATAGCAATACTTATTAAAATAATTGTTAAATAGCACAAAAACTAAAAAGTCTGTAAAGACTTTCTTTTATTCATTTTATTCATTTTCTTATGCTCAGTCACATATTTTAACAAATAGTAAGGTTACTTATGCTTGATGTATGTCCATGTATTTGATTTGTGGTATAGAATACTGTGCCAAGAGCAGAAAATTCCAAGCCTCCATTCTTTGATGACCTGAACTAAAAGAATAAGGATTCAAATGAGGCCTCAGGCTCAACAAATGAGTGTGATTTGACAGGTGAGAGGATCAGGTCTACCACACAAGTGTTTATGTCAGTGGTATCAGTGTGAATTAAACCATTTAAAGCAATTAACTAAAAGAATGTTGTTATACAGATTACTCTACTCCAAAATTTTAAATACCCTGAATGTCTTATACATACAGCTAGGTACTAATAATTGTACATAGTCATTGAAAATTCACAATATTCAAGTTAACTTTTTTTCTAGGAAATTTTGCAACATGTATGATCTTTTCTTAAAAAAAATTATTAGTGAATAACTGCGAGGTACAGTTACAGACTTACAAACTTTCTTTTTTTTTTTTTATTAGTGAAGCACCATGAGGTACAGTTGTAGATTTACAAATCTTTGTGCTTGGGTTTTGATTACACAATGATCAAATACCCATCCCTCCACCAGTGCCCATTTTCCACCACCATGGATAATATCCCCCCTCCCACCCTGCCTCTGTGGCAGGGCATTCCCTTTTGTTCTCTCTCTCCTTTTGGGTGTTGTGGTCTGCAAAAGAGGCACTGAGTGGCAAACATGTTCAGTCCATAGTCTACTTTCAACGTGCATCTCCCCTCCTGGGAGGATCCTCCAAACACCCTTTATTTGGTGCTCCCTTCTCTATCTGAACTGCTCTTTCCCCTAGAATACCCGGCTGGCCTCTAAGCTATGGAGTAATCCTCCTGGTGTTGATCTCAGCTATTCTTGGGTATTAATTTCATATTTTGTTACTTTATATCCCCCAGATGAATGCAATCTTTCTATGTCTATCCCTCTCTTTCTGACTCATTTCGCTTAGCATGATACTTTCCATGTTGTACCACTTGTATGTAAATTTCATGACTTCATCTTTTCTAACAGCTACATAGTACTCCATTGTGTAGATGTACCAAAGTTTCTTTAACCAGTCATCTGTTCTTGGGCATTCAGGTTTCTTCCAGTTTCTGGCTATTGTAAAGAGTGCTGCAATGAACAAACAAGTGCAGATGTCACTTTGACTACACATTTTTGCCTCTCTGGGATATATTCCCAGGAGTGGTATCGCTGGGTCAAATGGGAAGACTTACAAACTTTCGTGCTTGCGTTTCAGTCATACAATGATTGAGTACCCATCCCTTCACCAGTGCCCATTTTCCATCACCAATGGTCCCAGTATCCCTCCCACCACCCCCACCCCATCCCCCCCACCCTATCCCGCTTCTGTGGCAGGGCATTCCCTTTTGGTCTCTCTCTCTTTTTCGGTGTTGTGGTTTGCAATAGAGGTATTGAGTGGCCATCAGCAGCATGTATGATCTTTCAACATCAAATATACCTTTGGCAGTTGTCATAGGTATATTTGGTATACCACTGGACATTTAACTAGTCTTGGAAAAAATGTACTGATTTTTAAAAATTAAGTATCAAGCATTTTAAGCACAGGATAGTTATAGCAAATTCTTTAGCTTAATAATATTTTTTTGCTTCTTTTTATCTCTCACACTCTGTCCTTTTAAAGATTTTCTCTAGCAACTGTTGCATTCATAGGCTATCTATAATTCCCCTAAATCAGTTCAGACATCATCACCTGTATTTCATTTTTATCTTCGATCACGATCATCCTGTTGTTTGTTGATTGCCTCGAGCAGGCACCCGTAACGTCTCCTTCGCCCTAGCCCTGAGATTTTAAAAAGTGCCATATTCAAGGCTCTTTCAAGGTTAGGAGAATGAGACCCATCATTGTTACTGGTATTTGGCATATTGGGTACACCACGGGGAGTTTGCCAGACTCTGCCGTGTGGGCAGGTTACATTCAGTAGCCTGCCAGGTTTTCCATAGTAAGAACGAGATAATAAGATGTCTGGG